GGGACAGAGCGCCTTTCCTGCTCCATTACCGGAGGAGAACAAGAACACGACATTGGTTAACTGTAACTTCCCTTGTTCCAATTTACCTCATGTTTATTACCTTTTGTAGAGGCTACGTGTTGTGTAATAGAACTTCGTTCTAAGCCCTTGGAGTTCTTCCGTGCTTGCGTACTACAAAGTGGCGACCCTGCCAAGTCACAAGAATCAGGAATCCATCATCATTAGTCTAATGAAGATCATGCCAAGAATGAACAACAAGTCTGATGACGAAGGCCATTCTGATATCGTTGACCCCACTACCAGACTTTCCGCTTCACTGGATATTTTGTCCCATGCTTTGGAAAAGTTGTCAACAGGCTCGAGTTCGCCAGTCTGTATGCATGCAATCCCACCTCCGGAGCGTTACACTCCCGGGATGTCGTACTTCAGATGGGAGAAACAAGTGCAGCTTTACCTCCGGCAGTTCCCAATCCACCAACATTCAGGCGTGCTCGCCGGCTTACTGTCAGGGGATGCTTTTGATGTCGTTGCTGATAGTAAGATTCTGGAAACAGAAGTCACGTCTGAGACGTTCACTGCCTTGCGCCGCCTACTGGACCCTCCTGCATTGCCTGCACCCATACGCAGGGAATTCCACTCACGGTACCAGTGGCCCGGAGAGAGCATTAGGACTTACGTGCGCGAACTCCGAAAGATGGCCGACACCGCATACGAGAGCGAGTCATCAAGCGACCGTGATAAACGAATACTAGAACAACTCCTAGAAGGAATCCAAACACCATCCATTAAACGTGAATTTCTTCTTCACCCCCCGCAGGAGTTGGATGCAGCCGTACGAATTGGCGAACAACTTGAGCAGGTCGACAAAGCGATGACCACGCCGACTTCTGGGTGTTTCGCTTTGAGGGGAAATGGACGCCCCAGACGTGCGCCAACGGAACGGTTAACGTGGCATCCTGACTATCAGCAAAGATATTCAGGCTCATAGCGACCAACGCAACAGGGTTCTCGGTGGCCTCGCCGACCAATTCCGAATCGTGGTCTACCTCACTACAATTACGGACGCCCAGGTGAATGGCACCGATCGCATTCACACTTTATAACAGCCATTGTTTGTGCGTCGACCACAGATTCAGCATTAGCAATAGAATTACAGATCGCAGGGGTTCCATTGATAGGTCTCATCGACACAGGTGCATGTAAGAGCCTAATCAGATCTAGTTTGACTAACCAGCTAGCAGAACGTGTATACGCGCCTTGTCGCTGCCGACTAACTGCCGCCAATGGAGAATTGTTGTCCGTTCGAGGATCCCTAACCGCACAAGTTGACGTCGCGAAACAGAGCTTCACCCAGGAGTTTATCGTTGCGGACAAAATTCCGTTTGCTGTTATTGTTGGGATGGATCTGTTACGCCGGTTGAAGTGTCGATTGGATCTGGACAGGCGCCAACTAATCACCGATAACTGTACAGTTTTGTTAAAACCCTGTGGAAGTGGTGCTTTGGAAGCATCTACAACCTATGAGGACACCTTAGAGAGTGAGAAGTACATTAACGCCTTTATTCGCTCACTCGACAGAGTCACGGATGAGCAGACACTGAAGCGGCTCAAAGACGTGTTGCGCAACCACTCAGACGCATTTGCATGGCGCAGTACCGACTTGGGTCGAACCAATCTCGTGAAACACCGTTTCGACACCGGTGATGCAATCCCGATTAAAATCCCCCCAAGACGCATACCATTACATTGGCAGACTGAATTGCAAAAGCTCATAGATGACATGATAGAAAAGGAGGTAATACGGCCCTCGACTTCACCATGGGCAGCTCCGGTTGTTCTAGTGAAAAAGAAGGATGGTGGTTTTCGCCTATGTGTCGACTATAGACGATTAAATGTGATTACTCGAAAAGACGCTTTTCCCCTCCCCAGGATCGATGATCTATTTGACGCACTGGGAGGATCAGTTTATTTCAGTACGCTAGATTTGGCTACTGGCTACTGGCAAGTAGAAGTGGAGGAGAGCGACAGAGCGAAAACGGCGTTTGTAGTACCATCAGGTTTTTATGAGTTCCAGACCATGCCTTTTGGCCTCTCTAACGCCCCTGCGACTTTTCAACGACTGATGCAAAAAGTGTTACACGAATTGATGCCCCACAAGTGTCTTGTTTACCTGGACGATGTCATTGTACACGGAAAAACAAAAGACGAGCACCTAAACAACTTGGCGGAGGTGCTAACACGCCTAGTAAATGTGGGCCTCAAACTCCAGCCCACAAAGTGCCATTTACTACAGACCGAGGTAACGTATCTTGGGCACGTCATTTCGGGGATGGGGATTCGTACTGACCCTCGTAAGACGGAGCAAGTGAGATTATGGCCAACCCCTGCCAACGTTGATGAACTACGCAGTTTTTTAGGGTTAGCCTCATACTATCGGCGATTCGTGAAAGGGTTCTCAGAGATCGCTGCGCCTTTGAATACCTTGTTACAGAAAGGTAATACCTTCGAATGGACCGTTGAGTGTCGAAATTCATTCGATCGGTTACGAGAATCCCTTTGTGCAGCTCCGGTGTTGGTTTTCCCCGATCTGCCAACAAATGCCGGGGAGTTTATTCTAGACACGGACGCGAGCGACCAGGCGATTGGAGCTGTTTTGTCACAGAAAGGGCAGGACGGAATAGAACGAGTGGTGTCGTACAGAAGTAGAAGTCTCAGTGCAAGAGAACGGAATTACTGCACAACCAGAAAGGAAATGCTAGCCCTAGTATTCTTTATAAAACAAAACCGACACTACCTATTAGGAAGGAAGTTTCTGGTACGAACAGATCATCAGTCACTTCGTTGGTTACAGAATTTCAGAGACCCCGAGGGACAGATCGCCAGATGGCAGGAACAACTTCAGGAGTATGATTTTGAGTGCAGACACCGACCTGGTGCACTGCATGCCAACGCGGACGCTCTTTCCAGACTTCCTACTCGTGCTCATGGAGACTGCCCGTCTTGTAGTACACAACACGTAGCTCTAGTTAACCTTCAAAGTTCGGAGTACGGTCGCTGGCAGGAGGCACAGGCAGCAGATCCAGACGTATCACCGATCTATGACAAACGGCTGTTGGGGAGCGACAAACCTACCGCGAAGGAAATGGAGGGAAAAAGTTACGAAGCTCGATGCTTATGGGCGATGTGGGACAAGCTCTCTATCGAGGAAGGTGTGCTAGTGTTTGATTTTGGCCCAAACTATATCAGGAGAATCGTAGTTCCGCGATCATTAGTTTCCGAAGTGCTATCTAAACTGCACGAACAGCTGGGTCATGCTGGAATCAACAAACTGGAAGCGGCAGCACGTCAACGTTTTTGGTGGCCACACCAACGGAGAGACGTCACTAACGTTTGCCAGACGTGTGAGACATGCGCCACATTCAAGAATCTGACCATCACCAGGAGAGCACCATTGCAGCCTATGAATGCAGGCTACCCGAACGAGATTGTGGGAGTAGATCTTGTTGGTCCCCTACCAGAAACATCACGTGGCCATCGGTACATCTTGGTCATGGTCGACTATTTCACCAAGTGGTGCGAAGCAGTTCCGATCGCCCAAGCCGATACAGTCACCGTAGCAACGGCGATGGTAAATCACTGGGTGTGTCACTGGGGAGCACCGGGGCAGCTACATTCTGATAGGGGCTCATGTTTCGAGAGTTTGCTGGTTCAGGAACTTTGTAGCGTGTTCGGTATAGACAAGACGCGAACGACTGCTTACCACCCGCAAGGCAACGGACAAGTTGAGCGTACAAACCGGTCGCTGAAATCGCTACTGAAGGCCTTTGTGGAGCAAAATGTAAGTGAGTGGGACGCTATGTTGCCAAAATGCTTGCTGGCATATCGAAGCACAGTGCACGCTTCGACTGGTCAAACACCATCTTTTATGTGGACCGGGAGAGAAGTCCGATTACCGTCTGACATCCGATTACCCAGTCCGCAACAGCCACATTCATCGGTGACAGAGTATGTTAGCAAACTCCTTGATTCGCTTCATCAAACACATCAAGCAGCACGTATTCACCTTGGGAACGCCCATCGACGACAGAAAGACTATTACGACAAGAACGTTTTCGGCGCTCCTTTAAAGGCTGGCGACCAAGTTTACTTGCACCAGGTACCAACGGCAGGAGTTCCGGTTAAGCTACACCATGAGTGGACAGGACCGTACATAATACAGCGGGTGATATCGGATGTGACATGTGTTATCAAAGATCCCAACAACCCTGCCAGTCAACCCATGACAGTACATTTCAATCGACTCAAGCCATTCCGGAGAAAAACTGACCAATCTGTCGAGGGGCCGAACGAAACGCCTGGGGAAGTAGCAGTTGAACTGGAGGTGCCGGCTCAGGGCGGCTATGGGGTGGCAACGGGGACGCTGCCTGCTTAGAGGGGGTGTGGTGTAGAGAAGAATCGATATTGTTTTGGCGCGCGTTCAAAGTTGAATCGTTGCTTTAACGGCACTCTCTCCCGTTTGCCTTTCAGAGCGCCTTTCCTGCTCCATTACCGGAGGAGAACAAGAACACGACATTGGTTAACTGTAACTTCCCTTGTTCCAATTTACCTCATGTTTATTACCTTTTGTAGAGGCTACGTGTTGTGTAATAGAACTTCGTTCTAAGCCCTTGGAGTTCTTCCGTGCTTGCGTACTACAGTATCAACAGCCTTGCTAAGGTTTCTAGATAGTGATCGAAACAAGCCAAATGATTACTTTGAATGGTTGCATTCGATAATGGGCTTTTGAAAAAAGACGGTTTTGTTAGAATATGCGATTATCTACATGGTCGTCGAGAGAACTTTGCTGCTTACTTAGATAAGTTGACATTTGGTCTTTCCAGTGCAACCGTTTTTCCAAACTGAATTTACGAATTGCTGTTTTCTAGATGTTTTAAACGAATCACTTCAAATCCCTTACCGCCTTCTTAGTACTCAAGCATCCGTAACACACGAAGTTTTACCTATGGACCTAAGCTGTGCACTTGAAACCTTGCAAAAGTTTTATGACCCAAGATCTGGCAATTTTTGATGGACACGCTGCCTACTTAGAAGATATTTGTGTTTTTGGCCGCGTTCATATAAAGCTCAAAATAGTATCAGTAAACTTGATATTCGCATGCACAAAAGAAAGTGTTTATTTAACGCCTCTATTATTTGATCTCCGGGACACCTCAATTCCTATCGCGGGAGTCAGCTCAGTAACGAGGATGTTTGTGTCATAGCTGACGTGCATATAGCCAGTGACTTAACACAACTAAGTTCTTTTCTGGGCATGTGCTCTTACAACTGGCGATACCTTGGTTATTTAGCAACCTTGACAGATCCATTGCAGAAAGTGAGTAAAAGGTGGTCACTGTTTGTTTATGAAGTGCTCAGCAAAATTCCTTCTACAAATTGAAATACGGAATTTCTTTGCCTCATTAGCGGACATCTTTGACTAGTCGTGTCGTGGTTTTGTAGGAAACTAACGGTTCCCATGTCTGTCTCGGAGCTGACCATACATGACTACAAACTGGTGAAAAAATATCTATCGCTTTTGGTTCGCGGAAGATCTCATAATCGGAACGCATAAGCCCACCGGTGAGAAAGAGGCTGTTGCCTGTGTGTGAGGTTGTAAGAAATAACGTCTTTACCTCCTGATCCTACTTACATTTTACGAACTGACAAATTCGCTCTCACCACCCACCACAGGAATGGGCCGAAAGGTTTTCGACCGATGCGAATCAGTTGTTTGTACGCCATACTCTTCTCAGCTGCAATTTATCACCCGTGTACCGGCCAGGATTGCAGAATCAGATCGCGGATGTATTAGCTTGCTTAACTTTAGAAATTGTATATGGAGAAGAAACAATAAAAGAGGAGGCAATTATGTGTCGCCTTGGATAATATTTGTCTGTCCTAACCATTAATGAACCACAGACCGAGATTAGCAGAGGCCACGCTGCAACAGTGCACGACTTACGTTCAGGAGGGATGGTTAAAGAAAAAAAACGTATCCAGTTATCCCGTTCCATAGTATGTAGTTCAAGAGGAAATTTTAGTTCTAGATGGTTGTTCAATGCAGGGTACAATATGGGTAACTCCATCTTCGTTGGTTAGCGAAATCATTACATAGCCCAAGAGCGTAATCCGGGTATTTTCGGGAACAAAATAAGGTTAGACACTAATTTCGGTGGCCACGGATACCGCTAAGGATTCCGACATTTGTGAGCAAATATCAGGCTTTTGAGCTGATACTAATATATTTCTACTTAATGAATCCCATATAAAACTGCTACCACACCCAATGATATATTGAACTAAAATTGCAATTGATGTAATTGGTCCCTACTCTACTTTCTCAAATAATGATAAAAACATACTTGTTGCAGTGTTATTATAGCACATGGCCTGAAGTTCATATGTAACTTGATAACCTCTTCGGTAGTGCTGTTCAGCCGTTTCTGATTACTGCATAAAATGATCGTAGAAAATATCCCGCAAACCCGCAGTTACGATTTTGAAATTTCCCTCTAACGGCATAATGTATGCGTTTCTGGACTGCACCCTACAAACCCGCATCTGAAGGTGTGATAGAGCAGCTTAACTGGTCTCTCAAGAATAGAGTAACATAAATATAATTGATAGGGAAATTGCTCCTTTAACGGCGCTGTTATCATACAAAATCTGTGAGTAACTAGGCGCAGAAACATGGCCGGTGGAAATAATGCTCTGGAGTTCTTTCGCACAAAAGTTATTGCGGCGTACAGACTGTCCCTTTCTACAATGTTTGAAGATCCAACCGCACAGAAACCTACCGACAATCCTACGCCAGACGGTCGGTCCCGATGCAGCAGAACTGATCTCTCTAACTACCGCTCAGTATTCCTTATTCCTATACTCTCCAAGGTCATGGAAGCCATAGTTGTCTTACACTGTTGCGCTCTGGAAAACTGTAACATCTTCACCTCTGAGCAGCACGGTTTCCGTCGACAACAGCCATGCGCAACGAATTTACTAATCGCACGCGATTGTTGGACCGATACAACTGACGCGGGTAAAGGCGTTGATGTGATCTACCTAGATTTTTCCAAGGCGTTTGATCGTTTAGGCCACCTGTTACTACTCTCTAAGCTCCAACTTTACGGGATCGGTGTCCCTCTTTTAAGCTGGATTGCTAATTTTCTACTTTAATGGCAAGTAGTGATCAGAGTTCGGAGCTCTTTATCGGACCTCATACACGTCAAGTGTGGTGTGCAGTAAGGCCCAGTACTAAGTCCACTTTTGCTTTCTGTGTTAATAATGACCTTGCACAATGAATCGCTTCAAACCTCTTAA